CCGGCCAGAAGCCCGCAATTCCAAAGGAATTTTCGCTATGGATGTACATTTGGGATATCTAGGATAATTCATGATGCACCGTTTTGGGTATCCTTTTACCAGAAGTAAGGAAATCATACTTGGACACGTATTATACCTTAGCACCCTCCATCTTTTCTACAAGGATTCAAATGGGACATTTGTGGACTAATTCAACCACTATGTGGACTATTTAGATTCTTTATAATATCAGTTGATACTTTTACACGTTTGTCACACGTGTGGCTGTTGTCCACAAGCTGCATTCTCCACACTGGTAGCTAAGATTAACAAGCTCATGGCTCACCACCCTGATTATCTGATCAAATTTATTTGATTTGATATGTTGGAGAATTTACATCGAAAACTTCAACTTTCGATAGATATTGCATGTCGGTTGGGCTTTAAAGTTGAACATCCAGTCCCATGTTCATACCCAAAACAACCCAGTAGAAGCATTCATTAAACGCCTTCAAATGATTGCGCGATCGATTGTTCATACGTATCAACGTTCCCGATCTCTGCTTAGGGACATGCAATATTACAAGCAACCATATTGGTCCACCTGAGGCCCGTCACGACCTAACCTTATAAAGCGCGTGTCAGTTGGTTACCAGATACGAACCTGACATATCGTCTCTGCGCGTCTTTGGTTGTGTGGTCTATGTGCCATTTTGCGCCATCCTTACGTACAAAAAAACAAAGGAGTCATCAAGGAAGGATGGAAATCTATGTCGGTTATGATTCTCCTTCTAATATTCGATACTAAGAACCTTTGCCAGGTGATCTTTTTACCGCCCATTTTGCGAATTTTCACTTTTATGAGACAGTCTTCTCGTCATTAGGGGGAGATAAGAACGTCAACGTTTCTAAAAGAACGACGCGAATTATCATGGATGTCCTCACTATGTCTCATCTCAATCCCAATCAAGATCGTCAGAGTATAACCAGACACTTCATCTGATCTAGCAAAAGTGGCGAGATCACATATACCAGCTGCAAATCTACATGCAAAGATGTGTACCAAATGTACCACAGACTTTCATTCCGAAAGTAGGAATGCCATAATTATGGATGACCCTCGTACATTAGCAGCTAGCCAATCAATCAATCTGGCACCAGAAGCGTGGCAAATCACTTGGTTCGAGGATTCACTTCCCAAAAAATGGAGGAATATGGCACGAACAAATCCGCCCCTCAATCTCTGTCTCAAACCTTTTCATCTCAGGAGATTAAATCCGGATTACTCCCGAGACCTGAAGTTCTTGGTCTAGTATACTAGTTTGGATGAGATATGGAATTGGAATGAGATTATCATAGATGATGTTTCATTTATATGGCAACTACCGACGTAAATGAAAAGTGACGATAACGAACCGTGTTTCGTTGATTAATGTTGACGTAAAACTGATTGGTCAACTAAAAAAATCAATCTATGACGAATGAGATGAATGAAATAATGCGATATGACTCATTGTGGCGCAAGGCTTCTCTCATACGCCATGTAATTGATTGCAACATTATAAACATGGGTGTAGTATCTCTTGGATCCTGATATGAACCTACATGGAGTTTCCAAATGACTTACATGTACTGATTCAAATAGTTCTAGACCACAAGAACAACCTATCAGTTCTGATCAGGCCTTCACTTTACGGATGCAGAACTATCCGGGCGGATGTGGTATACTCGTCTAAGTGAACATTTGATCATTTTGGGATATATGCCCCTGCCTGTACAAAATTCGAAATTACTAAAGTTGAGAATACTAACTCGCACCTAAATCGAACTTTAAGATGAATGATCTGGGAAAACTCGACATTACCTCGACCTGAAGTTTCGAGCTAGTTCTGATGGTATTCTAGTCCACCACTCGAACTAGACCTAGAAGGTGTTACGTCTGAGTATATCCTGATCGTCTGTATGCTAGATGCAAATGAGACCTTTACGGAGGGTATAGAGCATAAGGTTCCATATTGGAACGTGAGGCAGCCATATCTAAGTACCATGGGCGTTTGTTGCACTTAGCTGAAATGCACTAGAATTAGACATCTTATGTGCTGATAATCTTTTGGCATAAAGTAGCACTGCGCCTAACACTCCACAACCCAATTCGGTGTTAAAGACGTTTTTCCATTACTACGGATTTGGGATTATCTATCCCTATGCATCTCATAATAGATCACACCCCCTTGATCTTCCAAATGATGCATACCTTGTGGGATTCGTTGAATCAGACCATCTGTTTGACCGCACAAGGTACATTCTCGCATGGTTATATCTTTACCATTAAGGAACATCGCAATATCTTTAAGGTCAACCAAATAGACCTTTTGTTGCGAAACCTTTGAATCGTTCCAAGACTCACTATGTCTTATCACGTGAGAGATATGGTCGACAACTCTTGTTAAGCATATTCAAAATCCATGCGATCTTCATCCATCGTTGAGTCCCAACAACGATCCATGAATACAACGCTGTATGTATCGACCAGATCATGATACATCCAACAAGTCAACATCAAGCATATTGTGTCTACATCAGCATGAGCATCAGAAGATTGAAGTCAAGCAGTCTGATCCCTTACAACCTTGCCAACCTCTACACAACGTCACTGTTTAAGTCTACCCTTCCAGAAGCTTGTCCAAGGAATTGGTATGCGTAACTTTCTCATTTGCGATGCTTGTAGTTTCATTTGGAAGTTTTGTCAAACTCAGGGGGAGTATCTAGAAGTGTACTCACTTGATCTTAATATACTCTTTTTCCCTACGATTAGGAGCATTTTTCCCACTAGGTTTTTGCTACCTAACTATGTTTTAATGAAGGGCCCATCCTAGGCTGGTCATACCCTTGTGAGCTCTTCTATTTACATCCAGAAGACGTATAGTTTTGACTTAATGCAACTTCTCACTTTTCTCCTTAGCCTATGGGTTTTTCTCCCACCTTGGGTTTTGCCATAGCAAGGTTTTGTGAGTTTTACCACCCATGCATTCTTCCGTTCGTTTTGATACTCGCATTCGCTACTTGTGCCGACTAGATGAGACAACTTTATCCGCTGCTTCTACATTTGCCTAAAGATCTGATGCGCCATCTATTTGAATATTTGCACACTCAAGGGGGAGTGTTGTGACATATGTTCTTATCAATATGTGATTGTGTAAATCCTAAGTAGAGATATAATAGGAATCCTTTGGGATCTAGAAGATCTTTCCTAATAGACTTTGTATTATTTGGAGAGCAAGTTTCTCTCATCCTCATTACTATAAATAAAGGCACAAGGACTGAGGAATTAAGACAATTCCTCAGTCCTTGTTCTCCAATCTCTTTCTCTTCCCTTTACCGCACCTCTCTATTAAATATAGGCTAGAACAAAAATTAGGTATTTAAAAGATTCTCTCAATTTTCACAAAAATATATTTGCAATAAGGGTTGGGGAATTGAGACTAAACCACACAAAGACCAACCATAACAAATTGATATCGAACTCGCCTTTTATAGAAATCAAATCTAAGACCTACAAGTTATAAATGGAGAGGAATGTCACTAAACTTCCAATACTAACACTACACCATAACCTCAACCAAATAAATAAATACACATTATTTGTAAGAATAAATAAACAATATTTGTACGAATAAATTAATCTACTATTCATGTTCATGATCACTTGAATCAGCTTCGCTAGCTTGATCATCATCTTCTTGGCCTTCTTTAGTTATGGAAGCTATGTTTTGATGCTCCTGTTTCTTCATTTTATCAGATACGTACTTTTCAAATTCTTCATAGTCAAAAGTTCCTTTCACTACCACTTGTAACTGGTCCTCACTGACTACAATAAACCCTAGCATACAAAAAGTTTCACAATAAGTTAGGGAAATTTTCTAAAAGGGGCATACGGAAATTAAGGAGTATGTAACAAATTAAGGGGAGACATATGTATATATAGGGATGGATGATGGGAATTTACACACCTTCCATTTTCTTGCCCCATCTCTTGACATTCTTCACACAGTTGTAACAGGGTTTCTTAAATTTTAACACAGCATGCACCTATCAGTAAAGAAACAGCAAAAGGAAAAAAGATTGTGATTCAAAGTTAAATATATTCGTTATACATGCATCCATCAAAGATCAACAGTGAACTGATGAACTTTCTAAATTCCAATTCCAGCACTAATCTTAAATGGCAAAATTAATTAGCATTATCACGATACCTCATCATCTTCTGAGGGAAGTCGCTCGTATTGCCAATAATTTGTTTTCTTCATTTTGAGAAGAGAACTTGTTTTCTTTACCAATTTACAAAAAGTGTTCATGGTTCATAAACCCTCGATATCTCACTCTAAATTTCTTCTCTTAATCTGGCATTTATCTTATACAGTTTTATGGTACCATCTGTATGCATTCCTTATTTGTTGTTATTGAAAACGAAAATTTCTCTAAGCAATCAATTAGGCTTGCTAGCATTTAAAAATTGCACCTGCTTGAATTGAAGTAGAATCTCTCCTAGGAGATCATATCTTCTGCACTCCAAAATAAATGTGACCTCTCTATGGTCCATTTAGTGACTGATACGTGTTTATAAACTTAACTTATTTTAATTTTATTATCAGTCAATTGCTGATTGGGGCGACAGAAATGCCACTTTTTTTTGGTGCAGAAGATTTGATTTGCTCCTGCTAGGCTTTACACTTGCAAAGGGTCACATATGAAACCGACGGGTTGTGGGCCAAACGAATTAATCCAGCTAATTATTAGTTTGGGTTGTCAAAAAAGAATTGCTAGTTTGGGCCTCTCCTATGGTACGAAAAAACAAAATAAAAATAAGAAGACCGTATTGCTCGACACGTGTTGCTCCAGCACCTTTCCACGTTGGCATGCAGCCAAGTGTCGTTAGGGGGTTACTACACGTAAAAACACCGGAGGATACTCTGCAGTGACCCCGCCTTGTAATATTTTCACATGATTGCTCTCACCGTTTCCTTCGTCTTTTCATTCGGAGACCCTTTCGTTCTGGCTTTTGAATGAATCATTTCATTTGCTTTCCTTCACTCAGCACACACCTTCAGAAGGATTTCTCTCTCTCTCTCTCTCTCTCTCAGAGTAAGTTTCAATTAATTTGAATAATTTTCATTAATACTTGTTGTAGCCAGTTAATTTGCTTGTGGCATTTTTCTTTTGTTTATTGGATCCAATCAAAGATTAACGCTTAATCAAGATTTTTTGTTAGATCAATGATTAATCGAGTTAAATCTTTTATTTTGAAAAAACTATGATTCAGATTAACCAAGTTATATCCTTGTTGGAACAGTTCCAATTGGTAATAATTAATATATAGCAATTCTCTTTCATGTTGGATTTGTTTGATTCAGATGATTTAATTCTATTTTGTTTGTGTTTGTTTTTACTTTTCAGGTTCTGTACTATCAGGAATTCACTAACTAAATACTTCTATTACCTAGCTAGTTTGATTAATACCCATTTAGTCACCCTCTGAGAACAAAATATTTAAAAATCTGAAAAAAGAAGACATGTCAGGTGTATCTCTTGCCGTGCCTCCTAGATCGGAGCCCGACACAACCACCACAACCCCAGGATCCAAACCCCAACAGAAACCGCTCCACCGCCAACAGCACCAGCAGTCTGCTGTAGGCGGTGTAATGGGTTCACTGCGAGTAATAGAGCTCCAACTCGTGGCCTTCATCATGGTTTTCTCGGCCAGTGGCCTTGTCCCGCTTTTTGATTTGATCTTCCCGGCTTTTGCCACCGCATACCTTTTAGGCCTGTCACGCTTGGCGTTCCCTTCCCACGGCGCTGTCAGCACTGGCTCTCAGGAGATTTTCCATGGCAGCAGATTCTTCAGGTTCTATGTGATTGTGGGAACCACAGTTGGGCTCTTCTTGCCGCTTGCATACGTGTTGGGTGGCTTTGCGAGGGGTGATGAGCACGCTGTCCGCTCTGCAACGCCTCACTTGTTCTTGCTTTCGTGTCAGATTCTGACTGAGAATGTGATTAGCGGGTTGTCGCTGTTTTCACCGCCAGTGAGGGCATTGGTCCCATTGCTTTACACTGTCAGGAGGATCTTTGTCGTCCTTGATTGGATGAAAGATGTTTGGCTTAACAAAACTCTGCCTGCCAATGCACAGTTTAAGGTAATTATCATATTGCTTGTGTTTTGGGAGAAAAACTTATGTGGTATGTTCATGCTACGTGCCAATTGTAGTAATTAAAAGAAACATGACGGTTAAATGATGGCACGAGCTCAAAATGTGGTAGGAACATCTTATAACTAGGTTGTTGTTCCAGTATGAATGCACGTAGGAGGAACACCTCCACATAGGTTTTTCTGTTGTTTTGGAAATTTGATTCTTAATTAAATTTCTTACTTTGTGCTTTGGCTAGTGTTTACTGATTGATGTTATGTTGGGGCACTTGTTGTAGGATGTTGCATGGTTTTGGTTTGGGAGAAGCCTGGCTGTAGCCAATTTCTTGTATTTCTCGATCAACCTGTTCGGGTTTTTGATCCCTCGATTCCTTCCGAGAGCGTTTGAGAGGTACTTCAGGGAGAGGGATGAAGTTGGGGCCAAGATGGTAGAGGACAAGCGCTCCGCCGCAGCAAATAAGCCGGAACCATTTGCAAATAAGAAAAGTGATTGATTTCGGGTTTGGTGCCATATATATTATATACTACGATTTTCGGTTTTCCTTAAATGATCCTGGCAGGACGACCGTTCAGCTCTCAAAATAATTGGAGGTACCAAAATTATTAGGGGTATATTTATATATGTTTTTTTTAAGAGTATAAATTTATAAAATTTGATTCAAATGACAAAGAAATTGAACTAGAATCAGTGGTTTTGTTGTTTGAAATTGGTTTTGTTGTTTGAAATTGAAGAGGATGTCTTGGGTTTAAAACACCATTTGTGCTTATTTACTTTTTAATTTTTACAAATTTCTTTTCATTATAAGAGTATAAATATATAAAATTTGGCTAAATAATCAAGGAGTTTAATTAGAATTAATGATTTTTGTTGTTTAAAATTAACGAGAGGTTCTAAGTTCGAAATGCTAAGTGCATGTTTATTATTTTCAATTTTAAAGATTTTTTGTTTTTTTGTTAATTTATTTTTAATTAGTAGCTAGTAGTTATATGGGTTGTTATTTTTAAACATTTGTTCCAATTCAAGTCTAATATTTAACAAAGAATAATGCGTTGATCAAAATTTTAGACCAAATTTGTAAAATATATGACGTATCATCAAAAAGTTTAATTTAGTACCCATTTATTACTTATACATATTAATTAAAGACTTAAAAATATCATTATTTTTTTAGTCACATATTGACAAGGTTAGTAAATAAGAAAAAAACACATTACGATTTATACAAAAAACTTTAAAAATTCATATGGAAAATAAAACTCATGTCTATCTACTTGTAAATCCAGAGTTTTTTTGTTTCCTTCTCACGATACAAAATAAATTAGTTTTTCCGTGTTTCTAAATTATTAAGTTTAAAGTGTTTTTATAAGTATAATTTTATCAATGTCTTACGTGTGAAAACAAATGATTTTCTTATATAAAATGAGAGCACATTTTTTTGCATCACCCCGGGCCTCAAAAATCTCTAGACCGCCATGCTTAACATGGATACGATGTACTGCTACTCCCTCTATATGCATGGATCACTGATGTATATCAGTTTGCTTTGTTCAACTTTTGTTGATGTTGTCTCACTTGCTGAGGTAGATACCTCGATATATCGGAATACAAAAGTAGTTCATTTTAAAGTTCCAAATGTATTGCAATCGACCAGCGGAATTGCTTGTTTTTGTTTTAAGTGCCTCTTTCAGTACAAGGAGACCGAGTGCTTGAAGTGCTAGTGGTTCAAGCGATCTGTGTCGAGTTAAGACCCTTTTCAACAACATAATGTGAAGACCGAGTGCGAGTAGTTCTTTATTGGTAAGGTAATTAGTTCATCCAACAAAGTCCGAAAGGACAACGTTATGCAACAAGTAAAATGTCATTCGCAAAACAAAAATTCTTGTGGGCCAAGGATTCATACCTTGCTCGTTGCAATTTCGTAGTCGATTTATTCATTTGGTCTACGTATTCTCATTTCTAATTTAAATAAATAAATACATAAAAACACGGATGTATAGAAAGAGAAAAAGAACTTGCGGATGAAATTTTCCAAATTTAGAGTCGATGATAATGCGGCTCCAAAATTTACATCATTTTGGAAAAGTTAACATCAAAGCCCATTCTGTTTTTGTTTTTCTGGGTTATAGACCTATCCTTATTTATTCTCTGTAAGAAAAAATATTAGCCGTTGATTTTTATTGTAAAGTCGAACGGATGGGATTTGAGAGGTAGAAAAGACAATGCATTGAGGAGGAGGCATCGTTTTTTTTATGTACATGATATCTTAGCGAATTGCTTTGTGTCAAACTTATTAAAATTAATGCGTAAGAGGACCCGATTTAAACTCGATTCGTTAAAATTAATGAGTAATTTGACCGAATTTGTTACTCGTTAAAGAAAATATATGTTACTTCAATAAATAATCAAATGAAATGCATCATACTAAAACTAGTATCTATACACCACATTGTCACATAAAAATTACCTTTATACAAAAAATGCATTTGTCTTTCATTCTATACAAAAAATGCATTTGTCCTTCAAGTATTTCATACCCAAATAAGAGTTTGATGAAAAAACATTAGCACATAAGTACAAAATATCAAATGTACAAGGATATACAAATTGCAAAATGAAAGAAGTTTTTTTCAAGGTTGTGGTGCGTTTATCAAAGTTATTGTCACATCCCAACCCGGGCAGGACCACTTACCGGATTCTCCGTCGTAGCACGATATTGTCCATTTTGGACCCCGACCACGCCCATGTTAATATTTTTCTTAACATGTTAAAATGAATTAATAGTTCTTAACGATAGACCTAACAACGACTTGATCAATTAAAATATTTATCCTCGTGTTATTTTAGTAGCCACTCCACAGTCAGCCTCAATTGGCGCCTCTCATAGTACTTTCGGTCAGTTGTCATCTTGTTCTTATCTTTGCAATCGGGAGCTAAATGACTATTCTACCCCAATCAAAATTCAGATATTGGGAAATAAACCCTTTTCCTCCATATTCAAACTGTCAACAAAGTCCACGCGCGGAGATATACTCTCCTCCAAAGGAATCTCTATTTTTATAATTTGACTATTTGTCTATTTAATTATAATGATAAAAATTTATTATTTTTTATAGAATAAAATGTTCATCGATTTCTTTTAACTCAAAAATGAACCTATTCCCTTACAGGCATCCTACAACTAAGTGTTGACCATATGTTTGATTATTTTTAAGTAAAATGCAAACTACTAGATATTGATCCATGTCTATGTGATAACAAGTTTGTTTTCTTTAGCTTTTAAAGAAATTTTATATATCTTGCATGCTTTTTTACTATATCAACTTACTTTAGTTATAAACTTTCAAATTGCGCACGTTATGCTGCTTAATTAACACCATAAATTGGTTGACATACAAACAAAATTTTACAAAGGATTTAGGCATTCAATTAGTTATTCATTTTTCTTTGGTTGTTGCATGACGGTTTACTTTTTGATCGTTAATGGTTGACTAGAGAACGAAATTATTAATTCACTGTTCTTTTTTATTTATTCATTGAAGATAGAAAAACTATTGCATTTTCTATGTTAGTAAGGTATTCTTATTTAGTATGTGTTTACATGCAAGATTAGAAAAGAACGTCCATTGACGCATGTAGAGTCATGTATAGTTTAACTTGGTCTCATTTTTTTAGTCCTTAGCGGCACCTAACTTATTTTAGTACAAACAGTATATCACACTAATCTACACTAAGGGAAAAGGTGAATGTTTGAATAAGAAAACGACGGCATTGTGAATTAAAAAGAATATTCTAACTATTAGAGTAACCAACATTTTGAAGTTGCACTAAACATGATATTAAAATCCGAGTTAAGACAATCCCCTTTAATAGTGCAACAAAAGGGGTTTCAAGAGCAAGAAGAAAACAAGTACAATGTTTGGTTTCATGGGCAACAAGACTAAAAGTACAAAACATTTTCAATATTACCCAGATAGGTGTGTAGTTCATCACATTTTGCAAATTAAAGAATTGAAGAGTTTGGGTGTAATTTCCTCTAATAAAGAAAGGCCTAAAAGGTACGCGCCCCCGCGCGTACAGAAAAGCTAGTTAACCTGAAAAAGGAGGAACGGTGACTCTCTCTGCTCCGCTCTCGACGTGCTACTGCGACTGCTGTCCTGCCTTTTGACAGCCCCACCCCCCGAAAAATAAAAAATAAAAACCCTACCACTATTCATCGCCTCTCTCTCTCTCTTAAGTTTTCACCTTTCCAAAAATCCCTCTACCTATTCACCAGCAGTTCCCCACTTTCTTTGAGGCAAAACATTAGACACCATGAAGATAAAGAACAAGGGCAAAGTCTACCCATCTCCCTCCTCCTCCGTCACCGCCGGCTCCTCCTCCTCCTCCTCCGACGGGTATGTTCTCTCCGTTCTTCAACTCCTCCCAGCGGCCATTCTAGCTCTAGCCTCCGTGCTCTCTCTCGAGGACCGCGAGGTCCTGGCTTACTTGATCACCCGCTCCATGAAAAACACCCCCAACACTTCTTCTTCAATCCCCGCCGCCCAAGACCCCCAGAAAAAGACTTCCAAGAAAGGTCCTAAGAAGTCCGCCAGCACCGCCGCCGCCCATCAGCCTCCAATGTTCGATTGCGACTGCTTTGACTGCTACAGAAGCTACTGGTTCAAGTGGGATTCTTCCCCCAACCGCGAGCTCATCCACCAAGCCATCGAAGCCTTCGAGGACCACTTGGCTAACGGCGAGCGGCCCAAGAGGAACGCCGGCAAAGGCAAGAGAAGAGACAAGCAGGGCCGTCGGGACGCCCCCATTACGGCCGATGTTTCTGCCCAAAATGAAATCTTTCTGGAAGAGAACGCCGTTCCAGCTTCGCCGGAGTTTGTTCAAAACTCTGGTGCCGCCGTGGTGCCGGAAAATGAGGTTCTTTTCGTGGGTTCGCCTGAGAAGGCTGATGGGGTCGAAGTAAATGAGGGGAAAGTGGAAGACTTGGGCGTGGATGTTACGGTAGCGCCGCCGGATACGGCGGATGACATGGCTGTGATTCTGAGGGCGGCGGCGGCGGCGGCGAGCAACCACAGGGGTTTGGCAAGGAAGGTGCTGCCGGACGTGTTGGGCCTCTTTAACTCTCGTTTGTGGAACCTTTGGAGTCCGAATGTCTAAAAAAATGAAAAAAGTAATCAACTTCTTTCATATTTCGAGCCTCAAAAAAGAAAAAAAAAAAGGAACGTACTATATTTTTTGTGGGTAGGTTTATTTTGTGCTCGAAATTATAGGTATGTTCCCCCTACTCTCTCTCTCTCAATGAAAATGTTTATTTATTAATTTTTCTTGTTTTTAAATAGTTTAACTTTAATCTCCATTTTATCATAATATTCTATCTTTATTTATTCTTTATTTTTGCTTAGGAATCAAGCTATTTGGCTTTTTAACTTGGGAAGAATAATTTTGATTGTTTGAGAGGTGGGCCAATGGGTATCGAGTTTTGTGGAGTTTAGTGATGAATAATTAAAGAATTAGGATTAATCTAATTAATCAGTATTAATGTGATAGTGTTGTTTGTTTATTGGGGTTTTTCGATTTTGAATGTCGAAGTTTGCGATTTCCTATGCTTCTCTGAGATATAAAGCCAGCCCTGCAAACCAACTTGGAAATCCCAAACTGTCCTTTTGCTCTCTCTCTGTACCAGCAAT